AGGTGGCATCTGAGAGTTGGGTCATGGGCCACGCACCCAGGAACCACACAAACTGTGGCTGCAGCCTTTGTTTGAGGGGGAAGCACTTCACAACAAGGTGGCATCTGAGAGGTGGGTCCTGGGCCACGCACCCAGGAACCAGCAGCACTCAATCTGGCTGGGGCCCCGGATGAATCCCACATGGAATGCCGGGCATCGGGCTGTGCGAGGGACCCTCAGGGGCCAGCATAAAGCTTAGTCTGGTGGGCAACCAAGAACCAATGTTGATGATTAAACTGGTAGTAACAGTATATTCGTTTTTGAATGTTCTAACTTTCAAACCATTAAAAAGTGACTTCTGAAGCTATTTGAATCCCTTTTCTGTTACTAATTTACTAAATATTTCACCTAACAAACTTTCTGAGAAAAATGCATTGAATTCAAGTAAAACTAGGAGGAGAAAATGCCATTGGTGTATTTTAGAAAAGGTTAGCGTTTTCCCAGGCCAGACTTTATAAAAGGAGTTATTGGATAGTAAAAGAAAACATAAAGCAAGAATAAAATGATAATTTCAAGTATTTCTTAGATTTTCTGAAAATTCTGAACTATCTATCCCACAATGTCCTCCAATAATAAATAATAAACTCCCGAGGAGGTTCCTGAGGAGAAAATTACTCAATATTAAACTGCCCCTTTCCTTTTGGCTTTGAAATGGGAGTCTTGTTAGGAATGATGAATAGGAAAATAATAAATCACCCTTTCATACCAAGATAAAATATAGGAGGCAGGAAAAATCAACTCAAGTTACAAGGATGAAAACTAAATTTTCCTTCCGTTGGTTATAAAATATCACATTGTTCATCCAACCAAAAATTCAGGACGAGTCTCTTGGAGTGCCTCCTATTAAAAGATACCATCTTGAGACGCAAGATGCTCAGGAATGGAAGTGACATTAATCTGCATGCAGTGATCACCTCCCTCATGCTGATGCACTGGCTAATGAGAGATAAGGAGTCCGACTGCTGGCGCCCAGATGAGGGGGCTGTCAGCAGTCAGGCAGGGCACAGCAGCTCTCTTTCCTTTCAGGAATTCACCTGCTGCTTTTTCCAGCCTGCTTTACTTTCCCCTGGTCATAGGATAAATGGATAAGGGACTCAAGTGCAGGTTGAGCAGCAACCAGTGATGAATTTGTACAAACCACAGTGGTGCGATATTGACATTTCTAACTATTTATTTTAATTTTTTGAATATGACATATATATGGTTCTAATGTCAATAATTATAAATAGATATACAATAAAAACAAAACTCCCTCCCATCACTCTCCCCCAACCTCTCAGTTCCTCTCTCAATAGGTAGCCTATGTTATCACAATTTCCTAAATACAGATGACGTACATATTTTGCCCTTTGACCCATTTTGTGATCCATGAGATAAAAACGGAGATGGTTAAACTGGAAGTGAGAAGGACCCAGCCACACACACACACATACACACACACACTTTTTCCCCTCAAAGCTATCTTCACTGATACTTAAATTTAGTTCCTGGTCCTGACTTCCCCAAAGCCCATAGGTTAATTATCTCTTTTTAGGGGTACCCTATTGGCCTCTCCTTCATTAGGCCCCATATCCTCTTCTCAGAGTCCAACATTCGTTCTTTCTGCATCAGGCCCCAAGGACAACTCTATCCTCAGTGAAGTCATCCTTTCCGATCATAATTCAGAGCAGTTTATCTCCTCATGGTCTTGAATTTCTGGATTCCAGAATTGGATTTTGGATCTACCCCCTTAGGTTCTGAGGAAGCATTCCTGAAACTAGATAACCCCTGTGGTTATATTTGCTAAGCCATTTACCAAAAAAAAATCCAAGAAAAGAATCAGAGACATCTTCACAATTTTGGAAAACCTCATTCTTTTTATAATGTCACAGAAACCAGAGGGACCAATAAAATGGGCCTCTCAACTCTAAAGGACTCAGTCTCCAATTCAAAAGAGACATTAAATATTCACCTACTCAGATATAGAGCAGATACAGAGGCCCAGCTCCTACCCCAGGAAAGAGATGATTTAGCCTTAGGGTTGTGGCATCGAGATCAATGGTTGGGCATAAAACATATTTTTATTGATACCTGGTAACCTAATGATAATCATGAAGCTATTCTTTTATGGCAACTTTTCTTTCCTCCTTTCAGGAAGAGCATGGTGTGGGGTATCCATCTGTGGACAGTGGTGGTATTTGGGAGACTGGGCACATCCAAGTTCAAGGCTCATAGATTTCAAGTGTAGACTCTAAAATGGAGGTGTTAGCCTTCATTTCCAATCTTTCTAGCACAACAGAAACATTTTTTTTTTCCTTCCCAGAACAGAAAAGCAATCTTCTCCCAAAGATGAGTCATAAAACTGTTGATGGTTTAGAAATAGCAGCCCATCACTACTCTAAACTGTTCTGGTTAAGAAAATGTTGGGGACAGGCTCAGCCAAAGGGCTTCCCCTTACTAGGACAGCATGGAGAAAAAGGGAGACATGAAGAAATGAGTGGAAAGGAACCAGAGAGAAGAAAACTGCAAAGATAGGAAGCAAAGCATCTCTGTTTTGCTCAACGTGACAAGAGACTTAGTGTTTCATGTTTTCCTACAGCCTTTCCTGTCCTAAAGAGAATCCACTTTAAAAGATAATATTCATTGTATTTGAATCTTTTCTTAAATGAAAAAGGCCTTGAAAAATGTATTTGCATCTCAAGAGTTGAAACTAAATATTTTCCTGTATTGATGAGAAGATCAGAGCCATGGACAGTCAAGGCAAGAAGGAGGCCAGGCACCTCCTCCCAATCCCCCATCCCCATTCTCTATATGAAAGTTCCTGCCCTAGACATTTTGTGGTGCCAGGATGGTGGTGGCCAGAGGTGACTAGCAAAGGCACCAGCTTCCTTCTGTCTACCAGCCTTCGCACAGCACCCAAGGCAACAGCATTCATCTTCCAGGTGAATCACATTTCAGAGTGTCATTGTCTTTTTTTTTTCTATACAGCCCCACTCCATCCATCCAACATGTTCCAATATCTTGCTGATAGGTGTAGTTGATTGAATAATGGCCACGCAAAGAGTTTCATGCCATGTCCCTGGTATCTATGAATATATTATCTCACACAGTAAAATAAACTTTCAGATTTGACTAAACTAAGTGTCTCAAGTTGGGAGATTATTTTGGATTATCTGAGTAGGCCCAGTATAATCACAAAGGTCATCATAAGAGTGAGGCAAGAGGGTCAGAGGGAGAGAAAGACATGTAACAACAGAAGCAGAGTTGAGAGAGAAATTGAGATTTGTAAATGGAGTAAGGGGCCAGCAGCCAAAGAATGCAAGCAGCCTCCAGAAACTGGAAAAGACCAGGAAAGGGATTACACCCTAGAGGCTCCAGAAGGAACATAGCCCTGCCAACACTTTAATTTTAGTCATAGAAAACCCAATTTGGACATTTGACCTCCAGAACTGTAAGAATAAATTTTTTATAAGCCACTAGGTTTATGGTATTTTGTTACAATAGAAAACTAATAAAATGTAAGTAAAAATTAGATCATCTACTTTGAAAAACTAGCAATATCTACAGAAGCTGAACATATGCCTGCTTCATGACTCACAATTCCACTCCTAGGTATGTACCCAACAAAAATATGTGTATATGTTCACGAAAGACATCTACTATAAAGTCTCTAGCAGCATTATTTGTAATGTCCCAAACCTCAGAATTACTAAATTTCTGTCAGCAGTAAAACAAATAAATTGTGGAATACTATGCAGCGAAAATATAAACCAACTATGACCATAGTTGGTAGGCATCTCTTAAACATATTCTAGTGAAAAAAAACCAGACAACAGTATATTCTGTATGATCCAATTGCTATAAAGTGGAAATGTAAGCAAAAGTAACCTATGCTGATTAAAGTCACTACTCTGCCTTACCCTCAAAGGGAGGATATGAGGGACTATTCTGGGGAGCCGATGATGTTCTGTCTCTTGATCTTAATGATGCTTCAGTTTGTGCAAAATCATTGAAACTGTAAAATGTGCACCTTTCAATATGTACTATATATTAAGAGAAACTGTTTTTCTAAAAAATAGGAGAAAGGAGAACTGTGCCTTCATGCAGAGCTGCCCAATCTCTCCCTGGGAACCTCCAATCTCTCCCAACAGACGGCTGTGGGCACAGGGCACAGATCCAGGATTCCATCTCCCTAGAGTCCAACTTTGGGTTAAAATGTCCTGTGAACTTGCTTTGCATATATTCACTAAAGAACACATTTCAGTTGGTTATTTTCCTAAATAAAGGAAGCCTGCCCATATTTAAGTCTACCTTCCCCTGGTGAGAACTCAAAACTACAAACTAATTTTGATTGCCATTATCTGAACACAAACAAAAAAGTGGTCATGGTCTTTTCTCCACCAGAGGATCCTTGATAAATGGAGTTAATTTTGTCTCTTTTTATGCCTCAGTTGAAGGTTAACGCATGAAATGTACTTCGTGAAATTTTGTTAAAGTTTATATTAATGTTTTAATAATAATATAATAAAGTTATAAACTTATAAAACCAAGAACGGTTGCTCCCACCAACACCCCAACCTGAAGTGAGGTTCTGGCTTTACCTACAGGGGGTACAGGGATGAGAAGGAAGAAGAACCGTGGGAGACAGACACATAGATCAGCCCGATGAATATGAACTGGAGGAGACACAGATGTGAACAGGGGGAACCAAGGGCCGGAATGTAGAGGATTTAGAGTGACCGTCTCCCCGCAGTGGAGAAGACCCTGCGGTCCCTGACCTGGGCCAGTCTCCCCAGCCAAAGCGCGGGGGCCGGGTTGGAGTGCGGAGGGGCTTACTTGTGGGGACAAAGCATGGGAGGCCAGAGTTTGGCGAAGCTTGGGAGGCCGGACTTTGGCCCTGGGGCCGGAATGGACTTTGGCCCCGCCGCCCCCACCTGCAGCGCAGCCCCGAGCCCGCGCGTCACTCCCAGCGGAAGCGCAGCGCCACCCGGGCGTCTGGCGAGGTGCGCGCCTCCCGGCCCCCACTCCGCCGCTTCGCGGCTCTGAGCCCGCCGCCAGCCTCTCTCAGACGAACAGGGGCGGGGACAGAGTGGCACCTACCCGGATCTGCGACTCCAGCTGCCGAAGACCACAATCCAGCCAAGACGGCGCCCTAGGGCCACTGGCGTGGAAGGTCCGAGCAGAGCCAGGGACGCGAGAGGAGCCGCCGCCGACTCGACAGCGCGTCCCAGGTCAGTGTGCGGCGCGGTCTCTGCAGGCTGCACTTGGGGAAACTTTGGTTTGTCGTGTCGGCTGCCGGGAAGAAGGCACCAAGGGCTCAGTCCGGGGCCCCGCGGCCTCTGTGCACGGCGCCTGGTCTGTTCAGGCCCTGGGAGCCCGCACTTCCCGCGTACTCTGACACTGCAGTGCCCCGAGCGGCGAGGGAGACCTGGTGCCAACCGAGGGACCCCGGGCTGCAGGGCCCTATCCAGAGACTGTGGCCCGCCATCCCGGGCTTTGCGGCGGCTCAGGCTTGGACCCCGCCGGGATGCGGGTTTCGCCTCCTTCTTCGCCTCGCCGCGCCGGGGGATGGATGAGGCCGCCCGCGGCCGCGGGATGTCTGGAAGGATCCTGGCAGGGACCATGCGAGCGCGGGTCATCGTGCGCGCGCCCGGACAGAGGAGGGCGCGGGTCGGAGGGTCCGACTTGGGCGCGTCTCTGCAGGTGCCTCGGGTGGCGGGGCTGTGGGAGGTGCAGGCTGAGCATGGAGGGCGGGCTGAGGGCTGCGGAGCAATTTGCAGCTACTGGTTCGACAAATGGGAGCCACACAGGGGCAGGGAGCCGGGTCTTGGCGCCTCTCGGGCGCACACACCTTTAGCACCTGAACCCCAAAGAGCCGGAGTCCAGACATGCGCCTGCCCCAGGATGGGGCAATGGCTGCTCCCCTCGGGCATGTCATTTCCCAAGGGAGGGCCGCGACCTCCCCGCGAGTGGCACGGGGACTGCTCCGCAGCGGCTCTGGGGCCGAACCCCTTTTTGTGGATGGCGATCGCTTCGGCTCGCCAGCTTGGCTCAGAGACGAGGCTACGAAACGCGCACCCCGCCCCCATCCGTGCCCCGGCGCTGTTGTCCCAGTCACCTTCCTTTGCCCTTCTCCGACAGCACCTCGGGCTCGCTCTCTCTTGTGCTTGGGAAAAACTGAGGAAACGAGCTCGGTCTCCAGAGCCGGCGGGGAACTGTGGAGACACTACCAAATCCTCAACATCTTGAAAATCCATCACCTTGGTTTCCTGAGACTTGGAGGTATAGGTTTGCGTTTCTGTGTGTGTTTGTTCCGGGGGCGGGTCGGGGGGGGGGCGTCTGCTGAGAGAGGTGGGGGTGTGGCTGCCCCAGAGCCCAGCAGCCCAGGGGCCTGGGGTACAGTGGAAGTAACTAGGAGAAGACACCAGCCCTTTTTGGGTATGTGTGGGAAATACAGCAAATCTTACGAGCTACTCCTCTCCCTGGGCAGTTTCTAAATATTTCTTACAAGCCCGTGCCAGGGAAGAACACTTTTCCTGACAAGTCATTATATTTCCTAGGACTGTCTCCCATCCATCTTTTGCCCTGGCAATGCCCCTTTCCTTGCATGGAGATGAGACAGATTTTGTTTGTGGCAGGCAGGCTTGCCTCATTCCAAGTGCAGCTGGCCTTTGCATCCTGGCCTTGGGCTGCCCTCTGGGACTCTGGCTTTTTGTAGCTCTGTCTCGGAAGGGCAGGGCAGCACACCTCCAGTCCCTGGTCCATTGTAACTCAAGGGAGTACTCTTCTGTGGGTACCTGGGCTCCCTCTGTGGCAGCCATCTCTGCCCAGCTCTCCCTGCCCCCGGCTACTTGAGCATCAGAAGTGATAACAAAGACAACCTGGTGGGAGCCTTAGGCAGGGGTCGATATCAAATAGGAAATGAGTCTGGAATGAGGAGTGAAGAATTTGCCACAAATTTTCTCCAAGTTTGCATAGGAAGCACCCCCTATTGAATATCTGGGAGTGGAGCCTGGAGCCTTATTTTTAACAAACTCTTCATGTGATTCTTATGCCTACAGAAGGTAGAGAGCCCATTGGTATAGAGACCTTGGCCTCACATTGTCCAGCTCCAGTCAGCCTAGAGGATTCTTATTTAGTGATGCTTGTTTAGAAATTAACATTTATTAAATTAAGTGGCAAATTAATTAGGAACTTTTAAATCCTCACAATCATCTACTGTAAAGTAGACTTTATCCCCACTTTGTAGATGAGGAAACTGAGGCTCAAAGGAACAGCTTCCCAAGGGTTGGTAACCCAGGTCTCTGACACACAGCCTGCTGCCTCCTCTGAGCACTTTGTCCCCTTGTGGGCAGCGCGAAGGCAGAGACTCTGGCAAGGATGAGGGGCTGAATCTAGAGCTTGAAACTCATTTGTTAATTTCCATCCCCTTGCTGCCCTCCCCCGCCATGGCCAGACAGCTGACTTTATATGAAGGAGTGCGGATCCCATTTGGAGATGGAGTAAGAGGCTCAAAGGAAAATAACATTTCTCTCAGAATGAAAGAAAAACTGGAGGTGGCACAGGGAGAAAAAGCTACAGGAAAAGCCAAGCCTATCATCTCCAAGATGGCTTTTAAAGCACCTCAGCCCATGTAGCACTGCAGAGTTAAGATACCACAAGAATCATGTTCTCAAAACAGGTACCCCACTTTGTGGGAAGCTGGCCATCCAGGACACAAGGAGACGTAAGATAAAGGGCACAGGAACATCTCAATGAGCCCCCATGAGCTGGTGAGTAAAAGAGTTCCCACACCTTTCCTTTCTCAGCCTCCTCATGTGCACAGAATAGGGGCCAGACCCACTGAGTGAGAGACTCTTCTAAAGCCAGTGGTGTTGTGGAGCAGGCTGTATCCTGCAAAGACACACACGGGGTTGCCATGCATAGGATCCGCACCAGACACTTTTACAGACTTATAATCAGTAAAATATGATTAACTGAAAAAACACAGTAAAGATGTCTTAACAAGGAGTGAAAAAACTAGAGTCCAAATGAGAGAGATGTGTGCAACAAATTGTCGGTATTTATGTAACTGAATAGCTTTGATTTCCTTCATAGGAACCGACAGCTGGCTGACAGAAAACTAATCCAGAGAGAGAAAATACTTAGGTGGAGTATGAAATTTTGAATAATGTTTTCAGGTAACTTTCTATTTCCATTCAGAGTGGGTGTCTGGAGGGGCAAATGTAGTTATGGTTTGAATTGCTTCATTTATCAACAGATATTTTTTAAACAGGGCTCATAATTCTAAGATCCAGTGCTTTTTACTTCTTTTTCCTGGCTTCCAGTCTCCTGGTAGTACAGCAGAGAGCTGGGGGGTCCACCATTCAGCCTGTAGACTCTCACTGTATCCCCGTTTTCAGCAAACTCTGTCTCCAAGTTGGGAGCCTTTCTCAACAACCTGTTCAGAGAATAAATCTTTGTTTTCTTGCCT